AGTCCTAAGCTTTTAAATCATCTACACATCTTCAGATTAAATGACTTTAGGAACAATTGCTGTTTCTGAACAATCAAGCTTGTAGGTTTGCTTTATCAGACCCATGACAGAACAAGTGGCAGATCCTAGGATTGGTTTTCAAAGGTATGTTGACAACCTCGAAAATGTTTTCACAAACATAGTCTCGATATGTGCACTGGATTGTAATGCTGCCAACAGGTTTCACTTTGTGTCCATTGTACGATTTTAAATTTGCTTTGGTTATTATTATTTGGAAATTAGATTTCTATCATTGATGTTGTTTACCAATGCTTATGGGGCGGATTCGCCGAAATAAGGCTGAAATATTGCCGACTCGGCGTAAAAAAAACAATAATCAATCAATCTTATGGGACGGCTTTGTTTGTTTTGGTGGATTTCAACGACTTAGGTTGTTTGGACGGTAGTTTGCTGCGTTGTTTGGACGGTAGTTTGCTGCGAATGGCATGAATTGAAGTGACTTCCCCAGATATTTTCTTGTCTTAGTTGTAGATTATTCATGAAGTCGTGCAATGTCAAGTGATTTCTGTAGAGTGAAATTAAATCAAACCTAACGTTGATTAGTTTTCAAGTATTTTATGCGATTTTACACCAATGACAATTTGATCTCGGACCATTTCATCACTTTTGTCATAGTCGCAATCACAAACAACTAATTTTAACTCTGTAACGAACTGATCAAATGTTTCTGTGTCAGACTGAACTCTAGTTTGAAATCTGTACCAGTTATAGATCACATTAGTTCGCTACTTGACATACTCCTCAAGCTTCTTGTAGTGTACACAAAAAACTTTTTTTCGATCGTCCTCTGAAAGGTTCCATATAGCGAAGATATTACGAACATTTTCTCCTTCCTAAATCATCAGGTATGCACATTTTAGGCTCGGATTTAGATTCAAACTGCCTGGTAAACACAAACTCCACACATATGAAAGACATCCAATCACCCTCCAAGTCATAACTGTCCAAATTCATAGATGGACTTGATCCGATAAGACTCTCCATCGTCCTTTTTAGAGATGATGGCTTGGAGTCGGCACAGTTCTGATACCATATAAAGTTAGATACACGTGAAGTCAACCATGATAACTTTATTGTAATTACTTCGGGTGATATATAATTTGGCAATCGTACTTATGATTATTAGTAATATGTTACAAATTGTATACCAAGCTTATTGCCTGCTGTTCTGACAAATATATAAGATAATTGTGCTGTTAGCATTTTTTTCTTTCTTCCCAGATAATCAAAAACATGATAGAAGTTCAAATCTGTTCAAATAGGCCTATGATGCGCTGACACATACAAGTAGAAGCAAACAGAACCAGTTGCAAGCTTGTTTTACAAAGTATCTGTTTCTACCATTTTACCGTTAAATGGAATTAGATCTCTAGATGAACAATATAAATATTTAATCAAGGCAGATTCACACAAAAGTATCAGTCTTCTTTCTATTTTTCAGTGTAGTCTAAATATTATAATTTCAACATATAGATGTATTTATGATCCTTTCCTTTCAAAATCAATGACAAAAATTAATTTTATATAACAGAATTATTTCAAAACTGCATATTATTAATTGATTGAAATCAATGTTGGTTTTCGCCGATTCGGCTAGAGCTAGCTTATGGCATTTGCATACATGTTTGAATTATATAAAGGTCAGTTTAATAAAAAGAGTCCTTGTATTAATTGAAATTTCTACAAAAAAGGTAAACATAAAACAACTTTAGTAATCATATTTTAACCATAATAAATTACTTTAATGTGTTAGATAACAGAATGTGTGTTTCATCTTTATATATGTTCTAATAGTTGGGATACTTCTACAAAGCTTTCAATGTGATTTTGGTATAAAAATAATTGTCAGCGTCTATAGAACGCATTTTAATATCTTTAGGAATCATTGTTTAAAGCACTATTAAAATTAATATTTCAATCAGTTTTAAAACTAAATTTTAATCACTATTGAAATCTTTATTTTAAAAGTGAACACACCGTTCACGGTAGCCTAGTGGTAGAGCGTTCGCTTCGTGATCGGGAAGCCGGGTTCGATTCTCGTTCCCGGTGCCGCGTCAAACCTAAGGCGTAAAAATAGGTAGTGACTGTTCCTTCGCCAAGCACTCGGCATTAGAAGTGAAAGTCACGGGTCTTTCGGATATGACCTTAAAATTGTAGGTCCCGTGTCACGGTAGACGCTGGCACGATAAATATACAGTAAAACACGGTTATAGCGAAGTCATGGGGACCTGTGAATTTAATTCGCTATATCCGTAATTCGTTATATCCGTATAACGAATTCGTAAAACCAAATATAGCGAATTCGCAATATGCATGTTTTCCTTCAAGTGTTACTATCAAATATGTTAGGGAAGCAAATATTACAAAAAATACCTTCGATAACTAAGGTTTAATTATGAATTGAATTTTATATACAAATGCTGAGAGAAAATAAAGTCAGTTCAATTAATGAAATTTTGAAATCTTTGAAAGTTCGTTATAAAAGATGTAAAATTCATTATATTTAACCTCAACGGGACTCAAAATCAGTTCGCTATATCCGTAAATTCGTTATATCAGAGTTCGTTATAACCGTAAAATTTTACAAAGATTTGTTAAGAATTTTGCCGGGGATCTAAAACGACGTCGCTATATCCGTGAATTCGCTATATCCGTGTTCGTACTAAACGTGTTTTACTGTACATTTATGAACTTAAAACATTTATGGATACTGTTTTCATATTTACCGCCATTGTTTATAAATATAACACTGTTTCCTGTAGTTGCCCTTGCGCATCCTGATATCGTCACTCGCCATTTTTCATTCCTTGTTTACCTATTCATGTGAAAGTTTTTAACTATTTTTCGATATCTGAATGGATGCATAGCACTTGAGATCAAACGAATAACATCCTACAACTTCTAGAGACTTGGCACAACGCATCTGAGGTAACTTAACCCGTTGATTTGCAGTTATTTGACCTTTCTTTATTTCATACAAATCTGCGACGATACTGTCATAGGCCCGAGAGCGATAGGCCCATTCGATAGGTAGATTCCTTCACTACTTCTGTGACATTTTCTGTGTGGACAAAGTACGCTTTCCACAAAAGGCGAGTCATATCAAATTATAGACTAGTTTGAGTTATAATAAAGCGGACATTGGATTCGTTTTAGGGTTTGTGATTGTTTCATAACATTCCGTAGGTCAAATGACAGAAATTTAGAAATCGGACTATGACCATTTTGTTCATTGGTGATTCACATGTGAAGAGATTCAGTGCATACATTGGCAACAGTAAACCTTCATCGGAGTTACTTGACATTGAAAACCTCCCACATGTAAAATTTTTCGGAATCAGCGGGGGAGTAGGGGGGAGGGGCGGTTAAGAATCTGCGCCACCTGCAGTCATTATCAGCAGTAGCCCAACAGTATCGACTTACATGTCTCATTGTCCATCTAGGTGGAAATGACTTAGATTGCAGAGAAGATACAGTAGATCTATTAATTCACGGACTCGTAGCCTTCTTGACTCAAATCCGCACACAATTCAATATTAACAAAATAGTTGTGATGAGATTGATACCTCGAGAGAGGACAAGACATATCGACCCACAGGAGTACAACACCCGAGTGCTACGCGCTAACTCAACCCTCAAAACTCAATGCCAACAAGTTGGCCTCTCTTATTGGAGGATGAAAGGATTTACAAACACCAGAGACAATATTTTCTGTGATGGCGTGCATCTTAATTCCTTGGGGATGAGAAAATATTTCAGACAATTGAGAGGAATTCTCCTGTCCCTGCAACGCTAGACACAAATTATCTTTGCTAGCCATGATGACGGGTGCTTCTGGCTAAGCTAACAATATAATAGATATTATTTATATGTAGAAAGGCTGTCATTTCAGTCTGCAATGTTTTAAATTATTGTTATTTACTATTTTACTCCGACGTGTATTATTATTTAAATTTTTACTCTCATAACCATATTTTAGGATAACATAAATTACAAGTATTATATTATTAATTTAAGGATTTACTTGTTGACAAAAACAGATGGTAATTGTTCTATTAATTATTCTGTTTATTTATTTTCAGCAGCCATTTTACCTGCATCTCTATATTTTCATATTCGATTACAGCGATTAACCATCTTCATTCAGGTATATATGAATCGTTTCCTTTATCTCAAACAACGGGATATTTATGGGATGAGTGGGTCACCCAGTAATTTCTCTTATTGAACCAAGCATATGAATGTAAAATAAGCTGGGTTGGCTCACTCTTCTACAATTTGTGGAAATTGCACTTCCACAACTTAATGAAATTTATGTTAGTTCTGGCTAGATGATGTTTGCAGTACACAATGGTCTGCAATTGAGTCACCCTTTGTAGTATATGACTACTTTAGCACTGGCTATTTATAATGCTTCATGGCAATTGAAGAATGATATTTAGCACTAATTAGACAAGTAGGTTAACGCTTAGGTTTCTAGGTCAAGTTATTTTATTTAACATGTTTTAGCTCTGGCTATTTTGGAGGGTGACTCGTAGTAGCTCTGGCTACTTATTATAGCAATGGCTATATTTCCTTGATTTAGTAGCTATGGCTACTAGTAGTTGTTTTCATACGATTCTAAGGCAAGGAATTCATTGTACACTTCCATTAAACACCGGTATATCACAGGTATTCCAAATTAACTATGTGCCCTTAAACAACTATGGTTGTGGTACAGGTTTATGGCATTGTGTCAAATGGTGGTGTGCAATTTTAGTTCCTTTAAATTAAGTCTTTATTTATTACTGAGTTATTTTGATTTTATTGCCACGTCATCGTTTTCAAGATTATGGCTTCTCGTCCAAAGAGGCGTAGGACCAAACCTTCCTCAACCGATAACCGATCTACCCAGCCAGATAACGATTCATCCAAACTGAAACGTCATCGTTTTCAAGATTATGGCTTCTCGTCCAAAGAGGCGTAGGACCAAACCTTCCTCAACCGATAACCGATCTACCCAGCCAGATAACGATTCATCAAAACTGAAAAACCTAGTTACAGAATGTATGGCTGCAGCGTTACCCATCATTGAAAAGACTGTAAAAGAATGCATGTCGAAATTAAACACCCCGCAACCAGCAGCTAACCAACAGCCAGCAGCGACTGGACAGCTGGAAGACAGATCGGATGAAGTCTCAAATACTTCGACGTTCAATACCATTGTAAATAATCAAGACACCACCACAGGTACTAATGCCTCAATTTCTCAAAATAATTTGCAAAAGAATATTTCCCAGGTGGGAATTTCAAAACCTATGGGACAGGGGGTGGACATGAAAATTAAAACCAAAATATTCGCAAATGAATACATCAAACTTGCCACTTTAATCCCATAGTCAAGCTTTGAGCAGGAGCCAAAATTCAAATCAGTCGAGAATGATGGACAATTGATTTTTATTAAATCTAATGACTACTCCCATATAAAAACCATTGCACAGTGGTTGGAGGCCTTTTTGATGTCTTTTTTTTTCATGTCTTTGTGGCAATCTACTGCGTAAAATATCCAGACGAGGTTGGGCAGCTCATGACATACGCACAAATCATTCAGGGCATAGCGAAGTCCTGTGGGGATGAAGCTGCCATAAGTTACGACGAGAAATTCAGACAGTGGCGTTAAGTTGCCCCACGTGCTTGTCCTTGGGATACAAAAAACTCTGAACTCTTTCATGATGCAATGTTTCAAGGTTTTGAAGCAAAAACAAAACTAAAGAAGCAGCCCTTTCGTGCAACTCCCTCAAAGCAGAAATACTGCTTCACGTTTAATAATACAAGCTCCTGTAACAGAGGAAACTCTTGTCCATATGCACATATATGCCAATACTGCTCCAATAAACACTCGAGGCGTAACTGCACAAAATATAAGCAAGGCCAACACAGTGCAGCAAATGCAAAACCCACCAATAATGACCAGCGCAAGAAACCCTCAACCCTCACCAAAAAAGATTGATGAATCTGTTGTTACCCCAATAAATGCTGACAAATTTGCTGAATATCATCAGGACTATGACCCTGCTCTATCAAACTTTTAGTTGAAGGTTTCAAATCAGGTTTTAGAATTCCATACCAAGGCCCTCGTGAGTTCTGACTTTCTAAAAATTTAGCTTCTTTGCAGGGAAATGAAGGTGTTTTGTGGCAAAAGTTAAATAATGAGATAGAGTTGGGTAGAGTAGCTGGTCCATTTCCCTCCCCCCCATTTCCTAATCTGCAAGTTTCACCTCTTGGCCTAGTTCCTAAAAAGAACCCTGGTGAATTTAGATTGATTCACCATTTGTCTTATCCCGAAGGGTTGTCAATCAAAGACCACATTCCACATGAATTTTGCACCGTGCAATACCAAACCATAGAGCATGCTATCTCAATCATTAGGGATATTGGGGTGGGGGCACTTTTAGCTAAAACTGACTTAGAAAATGCTTATAAACAAGTACATGTACCAGTTCACCCTAGTGACTTTGAATTGTTAGGTTTTAGTATTCATGATCAATTTTATTTTGATAAAACTCTCCCTTTCGGTCTTAGTTACTCTTGCAACCTCTTTGAGAAATTCAGTTCAGCCTTGCAATGGATCCTTCATGCAAAATTTGATGTTACACACTGGTGCACATTCTTGATGACTTTCTCTTTATTGGTTACCCAAACTCACCAGGGTGTCATAATGCACTTCAGGCATTCCACACTCTTGCAAATGACATCAACCTACCAATTAAGTCTGAGAAAACACTACTGCCGTGTACTACACTGACCTTTATGGACTTAGAAATAGATTCCATCAAATTTGAGATAAGACTGCCAGAAGACAAATTACATCGCCTGAAAAATACAGTAAGTATTTTTAGAAGAAAGCATACTGCTACCCTACATGAGTTACAGTCCCTCATTGGCCTGTTAAAATTTCGCCTGCTCAGTAGTGCCACCTGGAAGAACATTTCTTCGTAGAATCATTGACCTAACTAAGGATATTAAAAAGTCTTCTCACCACCGCAGGTTAAATGCTGAGGCTAGGGCAGACCTACAATCGGTCTATTTTTCTAGAACATTTTAATGGTAAAGCACTTTTCTATTCTGGGGAAATATACACTTCCAAAACCCTACATCTTTATACAGACGCTAGCAATTTATTTATTTATTTTTTTTTTTTTTTATTTACAGAAACAACACATTACATATATGTTCAGAAGCAAACATTTAAATGTAGTTAATGACACACTCACATACAGACGTACACACACTTACATACAGAGTGAGACTCACACAATATTACATGTGGAAGGGGGGTGAAATAAATATCAGTCAGTATAGCAACAGTATAAAACTCCAATGCTTAGTCATTAAATAAATATCAGTCAATATAACAATAGTATAAAACTCCAATGCTTAGTCATTACTTTGAAAAAGACATTTCCAATTAGACCATCTTTTTTCAAATTGTTCAACATCATATACTTTTTTTTCTATAACAAAATAATTACTCAAGTACAATAATAAATCATTAAATAAAATGGTACACTTTTTTCTTGAAGTTTGAAAGATATATTTTTTTACTAATACAATAATAACATTCAAACCCACATCAAATATTAATATAATCTGTAAAATATGAGAGTGTTTCTCTCCCAAAAGGATTGGAAATTAACTTAATTTTTTGTTTAATGTATTCTGACCCAAACAGACACATCTGTGTGACATTACAACCAGTGATTTCTGTAAACAACACTGTCCACTGTGTTGCGTTAGTGGAAAGTATTCTCCGAAACCAAGTAAGTTTAAGAGATTTTATAAAAATTTCAACATTAGTCATTCTGCATCCACCTTTTTAAAACTCTGACTGTAATGTTTTTCGGCTAATCTTATCAGGTTTATTGCCCCAAATAAATTTAAAAAGTAATTTTTCTAATTTTTTAATCCACTGTACGCTTGGTGTAGGCAAAACACTGAACAAGTGAGTAAGTTTGGACAGTAAAACACTTTTAACAACTGTTATTTTGCCTAATGGGGTAATATGTCTTTTAGACCACTGTGTTATTTCTTTTTGAATCCCAACTAATTTGCTATCAAAGTTCAGTTGTTCCATTTCTTTAAGATGTGCAGTGTAAGTGATACCCAATATTGTAAATGGTTGATTAGTCCAACTTAGATCTGTATTATCACACAGTGTTTCATTTGAACCAAGTTTTGAGCCAATCCAGATAGCTTTAGTTTTACTAATATTAGGCTTTAAACCGGAAAATTTTGAAAATTGAAAAAGAAGGTCAAGTGCACTTTTTAGACTTTTTTTCTGAGCCATCTAAGAACAGTACTGTATCATCCGCATATTGGAGTAAACAAACTTTTTCCTTTCCTATATTTATTCCTTTAATATTTTTGTTTTGTCTAATCATTATACCCATAATTTCAACACAGAGATTAAATAAATAAGGGGATACAGGATCTCCTTGGCGACAACCTCGTCCAATTAAAAAGAAATTAGAAAAAATACCATTTTGTAAAACACACAGTCTAGCTTTGTTGTATAAAACTGATACCCATTTTATTATATCAGGGCCAAAATTAAACAACTTTAGGGTCCTATACATAAATCGCCATGAAATTGAATCAAATGCCTTTTCGAAATCAATAAGTAATAAGATACCTGGGATCTGTTTTTCAAGAGTATTATGGATTGTATCATAAATAACTCGAGTATTTTCTCCTATAAATCTACCCTGAAGAAAGCCCTTTTGATTGTCATGAATTAAGAAGTCCAAGACCTTTTTTATTCTATTAGCAATACATGAGGAGGCAATTTTATATGATACATTTAGTAACGAAATAGGCCGCCAATTTTTAAGGTACTCTCTTGGCTTATCCCCCTTAGGGAGAATAGAAATAATACTGCTTCTGGGTCAAAGATAATTCCCCTGATATAAATCCATAATTAAGAGTTCTGACTAGAAAAGTTCCCAAATCTTTCAAAAAAAATTTGAAGAATTCAACAGTAAACCCGTCACTTCCAGGACTTTTATTGTTTTTCATATTTTTAAGTGCTGTAAGGGCTTCCTCTTTCGATATCAAACCTTCAAGTTCTGTAGCGGTGTTTTTATCCAATACATTAATATGTTCAGTATTAATAATGCTTTCCAATTCCACATCGTGTAACTTATTGCCCACACATGAGTATAATGCCTTATAAAATCTTTCAATTTCGGATAGGATATCCGACTGTCCAGTGACAATACCATTATCTGTGAGAAGCTTATTTACAGTTTTATTTATATAATTTCTTTTCTCTAGACTAAGAAAATATTTAGTAGGTTTCTCTCCATATTCTATCCATTTAAGCTTGGTTCTAGCAAATAGTCCTTTAATATATTCTTTTCTAATTTCTTCGAGTTTGGTTTGTGCTTGTTTTAATTTTTCAAAAGTGTCTGGAGAATCACTACTATCATTAAGATCACTTTCTAGTTTAATTATTTCTTCCTCGAGAGATTTTCTTTTATTTTCTGTAAGCTTCTTTTTTCTAGATGATAAGGCAATTGTTACTCCCCTTATTTCTAATAACAGTTGTTCAAAAAATAATTGATCATCTATAGTCAAGCATAAATTTTCATCTGATATATTCTTAATTTCTGAAGGCTTATATGGGAGAGCAGCATATTTCTGTTTAACCGTATTTATTGTTTCTTTGACTTTATCAACATAGACAGGATCATTAAGCAATGAGTTATTAAATTTCCAGAACCCCTTTCCTCTTTCAAATTTACTTAATGTAATGCTAAGTTCAATCATTGAATGGTCTGATCTATAGCCCGGACTTATGTCAACTTTATCGATAAGTGCCATTAATTCATTTGACACCAAAAAATAATCTAGTCTAGCTTTTTTAGTTGGTTTATTTTTAAACCATGTATACCTCTTCCGATTATTATACTTAATTCTCCAAGGATCAACCAGGCCAAGTGTTTCCTTTAAATCCAATACCACTTTTCTAGCTTCTGGGTTATTAGGGCTTTTCGACTTTTGTCGAAAAGACCTATTGTTTTCGTCTTGTTAGGGCTTTTCGACTTTTGTCGAAAAGACCTATTGTTTCCGTTTTGTTTATTATTATTATTATTATTATACTGAACACTTCTATCGTTCAGCATTTAGGGAGTACCTTTAAGAATAGGTATATTATTGTGTTACCACTAAATAGCAAATCAAAATCTCTC